GCACATGAGTATAAACCTGCATAGTCGTGGCCGGACGCCTGTCCGATCCAGACCAGGCGACTTTAGTTTCGGTGATTAAGGGGTATAGGCCAACCATTGGGGACTTACAAGGTGTGGGTGTAGGGGCCGAAGGGGACACCGGCTCTGCCATTACAGTGGGGGTGGGGGTCTGGGGACTAACATTAGCTGCTACCGAACCAGTTGGAGTCAGATTACAGCGTTGTAAAATATCTGGTCGAGTACATAAAGTCAGAAACAAATGCGCATACATATGTTCATTCCATTTCCTTGTTCTTTGACAGAACAGGAGTAACTGAAGGATCGTGTTGTAATTAATTGACCCTCCTGGTGGCCACCACTCCTGGTCCTCTAGTTGATATTGAGGCCAGTCAACTGTACAGAATCGTTTTAATTGGCTCTTAGTCATCGGATCCGCACCAAATACCTTCCAGTTTGCTAGAATGCACTCTAGGGGCGTACACCGTGCCCTAACCTCTGAGCTCTGTCCCTGTCCCATACCTACAGGGTAACTCTGGGCGTCCCCAGGTTCCAACAGAGCATATAATCCGGATTTTAAAAGGTTCCTACCTTATCCAAGGGACCGGTTCTTCACTGTGGCCTGCAGCTGCTCCTCCTCCACGTCTAAGGGACCGGTTCTTCACCGCCGTCCACAACTGCTTCTCCACTATATGAGTGCATTGCACCGTTGTGCCCTCCGGGGTCGATCAAATCGAGTCTCCTCCGAGGCCCCCGATGAACTCACCGGTACGCGTTGGGCGTCGGTTCTCGCCGCAATCCTCAACCTCCAGGAAGGGTCCGGGCAAGGCTAAATTGCAGCCTCGTTGCCCACCCAGGGACGCCAAAAGCTGTTGCTGGCACCCAGTGCCGAGAGGCTGAACAACAGCTTGAGTGGTTCGTTACCCGGTGTGCTACACCCAATAATCACAACGGGGTGGAGAAGCAGAAAAGTTTATTTGAAGCTTCAAATAGGTACAGGGAGATTTGAATTTCAAATCCTGTACACAGAGCAGGAAGTTACACAGGCTTTTATACATTCTTTTTTTTAGCATACTTATTCAATAGCAAGCTGCCCCAAATATCCATATAGCCAGCCAATCCAGTTCCCAGCTAGTTCCCTGATTCTCTGTATCATTTGTTAAAACTATACATAAAGCTGCTTTATTCAGCATTGTTTTTTTATATCTCCCCTGTTTGGCCTTGCTTAGTTTCAGGCAGTCTGACTCTGCAACATACTGTTGCAGATTCTCAGCATAACTGCTGTGTGTGCCTCCAGGTGGGGGGGCCAAGGACACTTGGGCCTAGCACGCAGAGCTGCTGCGAGTGCCTCCAGGCAGGAGGGGGGGGGCCAAGGACACCGGGGCCTAGTGCGAGGGGGCTTCATTGACACTTGTGGTCTTCCATCCCCTCGAGTTACCTAGTGGCCATGCCCCAGTGTCCCCAACACCTGTATGCGATTAAGTGTATCCAGCCCTGTTTCCCCAGGGATTCCCTTCCTCTTATTCATCCCCGCAGTACAAGAGTACACCCCAAACAAATGTTTTGCCACCTGTCCGGGGATTAGAAATGGGTGTGCCAGTCCTGCCACATCGATTTCCAAGGTGCTCAGTCCCAAAAGACTATGTCATATGATCACCTGGTCCTCACGAGTTAGACCCTCCATCTCCCTGCCCACCTCCACTAGTCACAGCACAAACTGGTCCCAATCATCCCAGGGTACCTTTCCCAAACGGCCCAGTACTGTCTCCCGGTCCTTCAGGGACAAGGGGCAGATTTCTGCCTGTTCTACTACTTGTGGGGCATGGTCTCCCCACCCCACAACTGGGGCCACTATTCCTGCCTTCTGCAGTTGCTCCCGGATAGCTTCTCTGGCAGGGGCTGTAACTGTGGGTTGCCGGCTCACAATGTCCACTGGCAGTGGTGGGTACAGTGTTTTTTCAGGGTAGGGTGGTGGAGGTGTCTCCTTCAGTTCCATAAGTGAGGCGGATGGTTTGGGGTCCCCAAGTTCATTGTCCCCATGTTTACATTGATACAATTCCCCCTCTAAATCTCCTACTCTCCTGAGCAGTTCATCCCTCTCTCACGGGATTGCCTCACAAGACTCCTCTGTCTGTGCAGCATCCCATGCCTTCAAATCCGCTACCTCTACTGCTAACACAGATTTTTCTGTTAAAATCCGTTGCTGATCCACAATCCCCTCAAAATCCTTAATGTGTTGGAGAAGATCGCCTTCCCTTTTTACCCAGTATGCCATCCCAGTGCAAAAACCTTGTAATACCATTCCCTTTTTCCTACACTCCTTTCCCTTGGGGTCTCCCAAAACTTCCCCCATCTCCTTCTCAATCTCATCCCAGGTGGACCCCTGCACTTGGTATTGGCCCTGATTATTCCCTATCTATTTGATCAAAAAATCCATTACTCCAGCTTGACAGAACCCACAACTACCATCACGAGAGTACGCCATACCCCCTCCAAGCGGCTGCGCAGACTGTTGGGGAGGGGCACTTACAGGCTGCCACTCACTTATCCGATGCAATGTATCTGAGTCAGCAGTAGAAGTGCCTACATCATAGAAAGCTCAAATGAAAATATACTCTTACAGGGGATGATTTATAAATTTAAAAACCCCAAATGAATTGGACAAATACATTTTAAAAAGATTTAAACAATTTTGTATCTTTAAAATAACTTGAGAGAATACAAAATTAGCAAGGAACCAAAAATAACCCACTTTGTCTCAAATGGTATTGGAAATACACAAGGAAACTTTCTCTATCCCTCCCTTGGAAAAGTTCCTTCTCACAATTTTCCCTACAGGTAGGAATGAAGGTTGGGGTTGGAGGATGGAGGAGAAAAAGTAATTACTGACACTTTCAATTTTCCTCTACACCGGTAAGTAAGGTAGTCTGATACATGAAAGTTGATGGAGAAAAACAGTCTTCAGAGCAATATAGCCTGCACTAAGCCCTGGCTCCTCCAAGGAACTGGGAGGAACTACAGTTCTGTATTATTGCATATTCACATAGTGTCTAAAAGTGACTACATAGGTGTGAGAATTTTTTTTAAGGTGAACCTTGGTCTGAACTCAAATATGTCTGCTTATTCTGCTCTTTCATCAGACAAATCTGGCGGGCCTGTCTCCTTTCCAGGGTCTGTTGTGCTTGCTTTGAGGTAAGATGGTGCTGCACTATCAGGGCTATGAGCCCTGTAGTTTAAAGAAAGCTTCTCTAGGGATTAGAGCTTATTTTTAGGATGCTTTAGCTCTTTTCCCACTTCTGAAGGTTTCTCCACCTGCCCCAGTGGAAATGGTATCCAGGGCACTCACTCTTAAAAGATAAACTAACTAAAAAAGATGAGGAGGCTGGCATAGCTCAGTCAAATGTGGCTGCTGCTGCTTCTTTACATGCATGTCCCAACTAACTGCTTTTTGCATCTATGATCCTCTTCACCTGCCCAGCAGAAAAAAATGAGATTAGGGAAATGAGGATTTCATATGCCTTAGCCTGAAGGAATATCTGAACATCCAAATTTCTCTCCAGAGCAGCATTCTGATACCATACCAGGTCCTACCTTGTTCTTTAAGAGGCTTTTTTATTTTTTTGTTGGATGTGGGTGGCCTAATCAAATGTCCACTTAGCTGAGAGCCTATCCCAGTATACTGTTATGGTCTAATGAACTCCAATTTCTGCAGCAGTCTTTGGAATTATCTGCAGATACACTTTCATTATTAACTTATCTCAGCTCTGGAGCTGATAACAAAAGGTTAAAGTAACAAATATAACCTAAATAGAGCTGGCCAGAATAGACCTTCAAAGAAGCACTCTGCTTAGATTGGGTGGATTTTATTGCAAGCATGTCTACATTTACAGATGTGCAAGACTAGGCTGGTGAAGGTGAGACAGCCAGTAAAGCTATTGCTTTGAAAGAGCCCACACAGAGCATCCTCTAGGTCAGTGGTTCCCAAACTTGTTCCGCTGCTTGTGCGGGGAAAGCCCCTGGCGGGCCCGATTTGTTTACCTGCCGCGTCCGCAGGTTCGGCCAATCGCGGCTCCCAGTGGCCGCGGTTCGCTGCGCCTGGCCAATGGGAGCTGCTGGAAGTGGTGCGGGCCAAGGAATGTACTGGCTGCCACTTCCAGCAGCTCCCATTGGCCTGGAGCAGCAAACCGCAAACTACCACCCGTCTAGGTGATAGTATGGTTGCATGACTCTACTCCTGAGACTTTCTACCCTGAATTATGATTGCTAACTGACTTTTCTCAGGTGTTTTTTGAGAATGTTTTAACTCACCTATTTAATGAGCCCCATGGCTTGCAATAAATAGGTGCTTTCCCGTGAACAACATGTGTATGAAAATCAGATTCTTGTAAAACACGCAAGCAAAATAAACTCCCTCCCAGTCTTCCCTCCTTATTAATTACATGTTAATTATATAGTGTGCTGCCCTAGAAAAAAATTGAGATTATTTCCTTTATGTGGTTTCTAAAGCGTGGACAATCTTTTAAATGCAACTTTTATAATAATGGTTTGTATCCTTCATCTAAGCATGACAAAGCTCTTAAACATACCATTAATTAATACTGTAACCTTGCAGTGACATATGCTGCAGTTCTGTCATTTAAAACACAATATAAGGTCATTTGGTAATTACATGTTTGCCAATGGCAAACTATTACTTGCTACAGCTGCAGCACATGCTCTATAATATAATTCAGGGCATATTACTTAGTAAACTGATGATTTGTAAATGGGTGTTTCCTCTTTGGCCACATAACTGCAGAAATCGTAAACTCAAGAACACAATCTGAGCAATGTGCCACAAAAAAAAAATATTTTCTTGACTGTTTTTAAATATAGAAACTAGTAAGTGAAGCAAAACATTTTCTGGCCTATTTTATTGCTTATATTGATTTTTTTCACATGAATACATAACATAATACATAATTCAGTGTTTTCTTTCATTAGAAACAGAACACTCGGCATATGTGAAAACAAAGATATTGTGTGCCCAGTGGCCTTCAAATCTATGAATCTGAGTGAGCAGCACGGGTTGCTTAACCAGGTCGGTAGACACTCAGATTCTCACTTGTCTTTTGGAGCTGTGAAAGAGCTAGGCCCTGGTTGACACTTGATCTTAAAAACCTCTCTAGTGACTGTTCCACTCCAGATTGTAGACAGCATGATATTCCTTCCATCACATGAGCTGATAGAATGTTTATGCTCACCTGGTGGCATGACCAGTCTACTCTCACTAGACTAGGAGTACTTGTGGCACCTTAGAGACTAACCAATTTATTTGAGCATGAGCTTTCGTGAGCTACAGCTCACTTCATCAGATGCATCCGATGAAGTGAGCTGTAGCTCATGAAAGCTCATGCTCAAATAAATTGGTTAGTCTCTAAGGTGCCAGAAGTACTCCTGTTCTTTTTGCGAATACAGACTAACACAGCTGCTACTCTGAAACCTCTCACTAGACTGTTTACCAAAATTAGATGCCCCCAGGCTTAAAACAACCACAAATGGCAATTCCTTGAAAGGAAGAGCACTCCTGGGGGCTTCCCTTACATTGTGCTCTCTTTAAAGAGGCCTAGTTGCTTTCAACCCCACCCCCTCATTGTTTTTGAGGATGTCCCCATCTCTAGATGCCAAACTGCTCTCCGCACACCTATTCCAAGGGAAGGCATGGTCACAAGCAGCCAGCACTGCAAGAAAAGCTCCTGCTTCCTTTATTGCTATCACTGGGTTGTGCCTTACTTTAGTCTAGGACCTGACATACACTAATAAATATTAGATTTGCAAATTTTTTTAGCAGTGATTCTATATTTACTTTCAGATCACGAATGAGATATCGAATCGTACTGGGCCCAGAACTGATCTCTGAGGAACCCCATAGACACACCTCTATTTGATGATGATTCCCCATTGACAGCTACATTTTTAGATCTATTAGTTAGCCAGTTTTTAATCAATGTAAGATATACTTTGTTGATATTGAATAGTGCTAGCTTTTTAATCACAATGTCATGCAGTACTAAGTCAAATGTCTTCCAAAAGTCTACGTTTATTACATCTATGCAGTTACCTTTATCAACCAAACTTGCAATCTCCTTACATAATGAAATCAAGTTTGTTTGACAAGAGCTATTTTCCATAATTATTGGTATTAATTATATTTCTATTCTTTAATTCCTTGTTGATTGGATCCTGTATCAGCTTTTCCATTATTTTTTCCTGGGATTGACGTCAGGCTAACTGATATGTAGTTAGCCAGGTAATCGCACTTGCCCTTTTTGAATTTTGACACAACATTAGCACTCTTCCAGTCTTCTGGAATTTCCCCCGTGTTCTAAGATTTATTGAAAAGTAACATCAGTGGACCAGAGACCTCCTCAGCTGTGTGGTCTAGGGATGTACAGCAGGAAAAGAATAGCATTCTGATTCAATTGTGGCCTTTCCTACTGACTCACTGCTATACTTTGTGCAAGTCACTTATTGTGCATCAGCTGTGTAAAAAGGATATAATACTTATTTACTTCTCTGGGTTATTCTGAGGCTTAATAAAATAATGAAGGGCGGCACTTTGAGAGCCTTGGATGAAAGGCATTATATGAGTTCAAAGTATTACTACTGTTATAGTATTTAAACTTCACAGGAAATGACATCACACTAAGTAGAACTCAACATTCCCAAAGCCAGAGGGTGGGGAACCTTAGTATATATAAAGCTCTTTAAGTGATCAGTCTTGCAGGACAAGGCAGACTGAAGACAGGTGAGTCTGAACTCATTGATATTGTACTCACTTGGAACGGGAGGAATCCTCAATTTTACTCATAGAAACATTCTATTTATAGTAATCTAGTGACTGCCAATGTGTGTTTGTTTATGGATAATGAAGCAAATCGATGGACTTTTTAAATGGTTTATATAAAATAAATCTTTGAGGAAAAAAATAAGTTATGTTAAAATGTGACTATATGACCAGTTCCTGTTCATGGAAAAAACAATATGTACCAAAAAGGCTGCTCATTATTGGCCTGATCTATGAAAATGTTTGCTACTGATTTAATGGGTACAGGGACAGACTATAAAGGTCTGATCCTTCAAATACAGGGCTTATTATGCTGAAGTCCATGTGACAGTAAGCCCCGACCTAAGTAGTAAGTGTGTGCTAGACTGGGTAAAAAGTCAATGAGCCTGTTTTTGGATGTGGTTTGAGTAAAATTTGCCATTTGTGTGGGTGAACTTTTTCTTAGTAACATTGGAAACTTTCTTGAATTCTTCATGTTTGCAGAGTTTGATTAATTTTCAGACGGTCTTGGGTGCCTAAGAAGAACCATCCCCATGCTGCTAACACTGATGTTTCTGGGCCTTGCTGCCCTTGTTGGTGAGTTTCGGGGTTATTTCTATTTCACGAGTCAAAAGCAACACTGGCAAGAGATTATTGTAGGGCTGAGGGAATGCAATCAGATCTGAGTTCTCCTATTATATATAGTTGTAAAATCTACCATATGGGTAACTCTTCTTTTGGGTATGAGGCCTCTTGCCCTCCACGTAAGCCTATTAAACTATAAATGATAAAGTATAGGTCAGACAGCAGAATAGGATCACAAAAACAACTTATGTTAATTCTTAACTAAGGTCATAAATGCCCTTGGTTGGCTGATGGGTTCAGTTAATTTCTCACTTTCTAGAAAGTGGAACAATTTGGCAAGGCCAGGGCTAGCGGTGTGAGCCGAGGGACATACTGGCCGCTGCTTCCAGTAGCTCCCATTGGCCTGGAGAACTGCAGCCACCGGCAGCCCTGATCGGCCGAACCTGCAGACCTGGCAGGTAAACAAACCGGCCCGGCCCACCAGGGGCTTTCCCTGCACAAGCGGCGGAACAAATTTGGGAACCACTGATTTAGATAATGGCATAGAGAGTACACTTATAAAGTTTGTGGACGATACCAAGCTGGGAGGGGTTGCAAGTGCTTTGGAGGATAGGATTAAAATTCAAAATGATCTGGACAAACTGGAGAAATGGTCTGAAGTAAATAGGATGAAATTCAATAAGGACAAATGCAAAGCAGTCCACTTAGGAAGGAACAATCAGTTGCACATGTACAAAATGGGAAGTGACTGCCTAGGAAGGAGTACTGCGGAAAGGGATCTGGGGGTCATAATGGACCACAAGCTAAATATGAGTCAACAGTGTAACACTGTTGCAAAAAAAGTGAACATCATTCTGGGATGTATTAGCAGGAGTGTTGTAAGCAAGACATGAGAAGTAATTCTTCTGCTCTACTCCGTGCTGATTAGGCCTCAACTGAAGTATTGTGTCCAGTTCTGGGCGCCACATTTCAGGAAAGATGTAGACAAATTGGAGAAAGTGCAGAGAAGAGCAACAAAAATGATTAAAGGTCTAGAAAACATGACCTATGAGGGAAGATTGAAAAAACTGGGTTTGTTTAGTGTGGAAAAGAGAAGACTGAGGTGGGACACGATGACAGTTTTCAAGTATGTAAAAGGTTGTTATAAGGAGGAAGGAGAAGAATTATTCTTCTTAACCTCTGAGGATAGTACAAGAAGCAATGGGCTTAAATTGCAGCAAGGGAAGTTTAGGTTGGACATTAGGAAAAACTTCCTGACTGTATGGGTAGTTAAGCACTGGAATAAATTGCCTAGGGAAGTTGTGGAATCTCCATCATTGGAGATTTTTAAGAGCAGGTTAGACAAACATCTCTCAGGAATGGTCTAGATAGTACTTAGTCCTGCCATGAGTGCAGGGGACTGGAGTAGATGACCTCTCGAGGTCCCTTCCAGTCCTATGATTCTATGATCCTCAGCTGGTAAAAATTGTCCTGGCTCCACTGACTTCAATATGTAATATTAGAAAAAGGCAATTAATGGATATTAGATTTTGATGATGGTGCCATTGATGCCGATGCTGCTAATAGTGCTATTAATATAAATGAGTATAATACAACAGAAATGTCAGCGTGGAGGTGTCCTTTCTGCATAAGTTTAATTCATGCTTGCAACAGTCTGAGCAATACAGTCTTACGATCTTATTTTATTTTAAATATCTCCCTTTAACTTTTTAGCTCCTTCTGTAAGTTATGGATGTTATGGTGATTTACGTACTATGGAAACCCCTGTGATTTCCTGTGGAGCTGTACAAACCCCAACTTGTGGTAGGTATCATTCATTGCTTGATTGGCAGTATTTCAATGCACACACTTCTGTTTGTGCTCAGAAGTACAGGGCTAACTGGAGGGTAGACAGTGATACTGAGTCTATAAAACTAGATGAGGAGAAGTGCCAAGTGTTAAGGCCTACTGTTTTCAAATGACAGCCTTTCTTAGCTATGTCTTCTGTATCTGTCTCTGAGGAACCCCCCTTTTAAGGTCTCACATTTACAGCAATCAGCCTCTGAACAAAGAGAAGCAGACATGATCCCTTTCCAGTCAACATTGCTCCTTAATCAGCTAGGCTTTCAGTGGCATTATCTCCACACAGGTACTGAGCACGCACTTTCCTCAGCACTCCCAGACCCCTCCTGGACTGGGAAACAAGACACCTGGAATCAGACTTGAGTCTTGACATGCTGAACAAACTGGCCAGTTGTGACATGCCAAATCAATATTTTGTGGGACAAATCAAAGGAGGATGACCCTGGAGCTGTGGTGATCCTACCCCTCCTTTGAGTGCCCCATTTTAGGAATTCCCTCCCAATTTCCTGTACATTTTTTTGAGGAGATTAAGTTTTGTGGGTGAGAAACCTTTTCACACTTGCACGCCTGTTTGGAAAAAAAGATGTCTTAGAGAAGGAAAAGGAAATACCAGCATTTTATTGCAACATGTAGAAAACATCTGCTATTTTGCTATGAGTGAAATCCTAGCCCCACTGAGAGTCAATGGCAAAAGTCCCATTGACTTCAACGGAGCCAGTATTTCTCCTTATGTAATATCTTGAAGATCTGAAGATAAACTTGGAAGATTAAGACTGAAGTGCATTGGGTGATGGGCCCTGTTTAAAGCTAGTCAGGTTTCAACGGGGAGGTTCCCACTCTTCGCTTTCATTCCATTTCCCATTCATGATCTAACTCTACTACCATCAGGCTGGGTAGGTACTTGGAAAGGAGGCCTACAAGGAACATTATGGCAGGAAAATGATTCAGTAGGTAGCACTCTTCCCTCAGAGTCAGTAATGATCCAGTTGATCCAGAGTTTATTAAGAGGCTGGAGGTAACTTTTTGGGGATGAGATGTAAAACAGAGTTCCCTTCCACCTTTAGTCATGAAAGATCCCAGAGAACTTTTGTAAGAAGAGGGCTGCTAAACCCATTGTCTTGATCAAACTCCAAATTGGATAATTCCATTTTGTATTGCTAAATTCTCCTTTGCCATTTTGGCTGGATACAGTATTCTCCACTTTCTGACTTGTGTTGTTGCCTTATGCTCTTAAACAATCACTTCACTTCTGAGTAGAGGAGGCTGTATTTTACTGATGTGTGAAGTGATTCCTATGTGTAGTGTAGTGTAAGTTCATAAAACTTTTGGAGCTGAAAACTGCTACATAGTGTAAGTTATGTTAAATACATATGTAATCAACTGTTTTAAAACTTACTTGCTGGGGGATTTAACAGTTAATGTAGCTTGCTGGGTTGCTTTTTTAAAAATACAAATCATTAAACATATTTATCTTCATGGTGTTTCTCTTTCTTATAAATTTATGGATAGTTTTTCAAAAGTACTCTAGTACCTGTGACCTGTAGGTGCTTAGCATCTCTGAAAATCAGGGTTGTCAAATTTTTACTGAAAGGGAAGCATGAAAAAGACTGGATCAGGAAAATGTTAAGGAGGAAAGAGATGTCAAAGGCTTCCTAAGAATTGCAGGGGCTGCCCCCAACCCTTTTGTTACTGATTCAGAGATATATAAAGATATATAGTTATTGCCTTCTGGATTTCAAAAACTATCAACCATATTCAGAAATCAATAGGATTGCATTGGCTTTTCAAATATGTTGAGCCACATTAAATGGCTGCATTTTTCTAAACAGAAAATGATGGCTTTGGAATGCCAACTTATATGTAAAGTGATGTTTTTTAAATTACATGCAGAAACCACATTCACCTTTGTATTTGCTACAGGGGTCCATGCTGCAGAAAAGATGGCTGAAATAGACATAGTACGTCTAAGGAGATACGAAGTCCCTATTAAGAGAGTTGCCAGAAATCTGTGCATAGATCCAGCACTCATTGCTGCAGTCATCTCTGTGGAGAGTCGTGCTGGAGCTATTCTAGTCGATGGCTGGAACCGTGAAAGAAACCGATATGGCTTGATGCAGGTATGGAAGGAAGACCAGGAAAAATAAAAATCCCAAGTACTGAAATAGAAATATTATGCACTAAGGCTTTACTTTAGCAAATTACTTTATACTTTATTTAGTAAGTACTTTTTACATTCGGGACAGCACTTATGTACATACTTAAGTCTATTCCTGTTCAGGAAAACACCACCGCATGCGCTTGAATGTCATCCTAAAGAAGGATACATCCTTAAATTGGGGGCTAAAAATGTAAAGAACAGAAAACAAAAGTGGTGGTTTTGTTTCTAAGGAGACTGAATTTTTTGTCTGAATCTTCTAGGTTCATACACACTACAATTCAATTCCTGGAGCCTGGGATAGTGAAGAACATATAACTCAAGGTGCAACTATTCTAGTTACTGAAATTAAGGCATTACAGACAAAGTACCCTACCTGGTCCTGGCAACAATATCTCAGAGGTACAGTATGTGCTGTAAAGTTAAAGGGACACTATCAAGATAAAACATTATATATTAAAAAGTTGCTTTAACTACTTTATTAAGATTTGAATAGCTGAGATTTTTAAAGATGAAGTTGATGTAAGTCTGATTTACTTTTCACCATGCTTTTTGTTGACAGTTTTGTTTATGGCTATATTTTCTGGTTCTCATGCACGGTACAATGCTATTGTGCTGGGGCTCCCAAGACTGTAGTAGATTGTTTACATGGAAACAAACATTTCCTTTTTACTGCCATTTAAATCTCAAGAACATTTCTATTCATATTTAATCATAACACCCTCTCCTTAAAAATATGATTTATTATATGTATTACAGTCCCACATGGAGGCCTCAGTCAAGAAAGAGGCCCCACTGTTCCGGGCACAGCACAAAAACAGCCCCAACGAGCCTACAATCTAAAACGACAAGCCAGAAGAAGGGAAGGAGGGAAAAGAGAGGCACAGAACAGTAAAATAACTTGCTCAGTGTCTCAGAGCAGGCCAGTGACAAAGCCAGCAATAGCACTTGACTCTCATTGCAGTGTCCTCGCCCGTGGAGCACAGAGCCTCCACCGAAATCCATAACCTACATTTGGATCCTCAAATACTTGACAGCTTTCCTGTAGCACAGCTGAGTGGGAAACTAGAACACTTTGGGGGCTGAATAGCTGATCCTGGGATTCTGGCATTCTGCGTGGCATGGCACGTTGGCTTGGGGAGGAGGACAGAGAATGTTATGCAGGACTAACCCATTTCAGGGCTGGATGAAGAGTACCAGCTAGGGGCTTCATCCAGCTTCCACTGAACTCAATGACAATAATTCACTGACTTCTATGGGATCAGGCTTTAGCTGACTAGGGTATGGCTGCACTTCAAAGAAAAAGTCACATCACGGAGTCTCAGAGCCCAGGTCAATTGACTTGGGCTTGCAAAGCTCGGGGTGTGGGTCTAAAACCAGCACATGTTCCCACCCTCCCCACCTCACTGGATTTCAGAGACCGGGCTCCAGCCTGAGCCCAAGTGTCTACACTGCTATTTTTTGCTCTGTAGCATGATCCCCATGAGCTCAAGTCAGTTGACCCAGGCTCTGAGGCTTGCTGCTGCGGGTCTTTTTTTGCTATGTAGACATACCCACTGGATCTGATACAAGACAGTGGAAAAACCTCGCCATTGAGTTCAGAGGAACTGAATCAGGATTTAAGTCTCTCCTCATCTGTCTGTCTTGGAAGTGAACTTTTTGGTTGTTAAATGGATGGGAGGGGTCATGTGTTGGGGATTAAGGGCCCTGGAACTGAAACAGGGGCTCAGATCCTTTTTCTGCTTGTCTTTTTAGATTGTAGGCTCGTTGGGGCTGTTTTTGTGCTGTGCCTGGCACAGTGGGGCCCCTTTCTTGATCGAGACCTCCATGAGGGAGTGTAATTCAAATAATAAATCATTTTAAGGCAAGGGTTTTACATGATTAAATATGAACAGAAATGTTCTTGTGATATCTAAATGTCAATAAAAAGGAAAGGAGGTAGGTAGGTAGGAGATGTAGTTAAATTGTGAACACAAGATTGGGAGTGGGGGAGCTTGTAATGAACAGGTACGTCATCACTCTGGTTACTCCAGGTGTATGTTGTATCTTTTTACTTCATCCTTCACCTGTCCTTGCCTTTTTAGATTATACATGTTTTTAAGGCAAAGACCGTGTACCCATCTGCATTCAGAGAGCATCTAGCACGTTTTGGATGCTATTGCAATATAAATAATAAATAAACAAATAATAAGTTGTTTGCAAATTCCCTATTAAGAATCAAGTACTCAGTAAATGCAGCTACGCAACAGCACAATTTATCATTTCCCAAAAGACTTTATAGGTTCAATTAGATGGATTTTCGCTGAAGCCACAGCTTCTGGCTGAGATTTATTCGTTTTTAATTCTGTATTAACTACTTTGTGTCTCATTGCAGGTGGGATTTGTGCCTATCATGACAGGGTTAGGAACATCCAGGTCTATGACGGAATGGACAGCTGCAATTCGAGCAATGATTATGTTAATAATGTTATTATTCGAGCCAAATATCTGCAGAATAATGGATTCCGAGTTTTAGTGTAATACTGGCTTCAGCCTCTTTTCAGCTAAATCATAAGACTCCTTCCAGTGACAGGTTATCTATGTAAGTTTCTATGTATGGATCTATGTATGTTTAGTTATCTATGTAAGGTCAAAATGAGCCTTACGTGGCCATATCCAAAGGGGAATCTCTCTGGGTAGCCCAGGAGTCATGCAGAGCCTCTCTGGGTCACACCAGCTCAAAAGCAAGGGCCTCCCATTTAGTGAGTTTCCTGTGAACTACATGACAGTGACACTGATTAGTAGTACAAAGCTAACATCTTTTTGGACTTAACATTGGTGCAGTTCGATTGGTGCCTTCCAGCTTTGAAACGTGGATGATTCAATATCTGCCTCACTATCATGAAAACAAAACCAAAGAAAAACTCTAGTAGCCCTTATTTTTAATTGGCAAGTTAATAGCTGATGATTATTCTGTTTGAAAGTCTATTTTTCATTGTGGCTAGATTTGGATATGTAAATTTACTGACCAAATGAATAAAGGGAAATGACATATTAAACTGTTTTTGGCAAATGAAACAAGACTCCCAAGAGGTCATCTTTTCAGTTTCATGAGCAAAGGAGGACAGCAAAAAATGATTTTTTTTTTGTTTAACTAGGACCAGCAGGGTTATAGTCCTGGGTTTGGCAGGTGACAAAGCGACCGATTAAGAAATTAATTTGTTGACCTTGCCATGGGGGGTGGACTCTTTAAAGCACAGACCATAGCACTGACAAATAAGGACTTGCCAGACAGCTCGCTATGATCTATGCATGGAAGCGCTACATAGGAGCTAAGGATTATGGGTATTATTTTGATTGCTTAGTAACAAGTTATAATCTCCAGTACAATGTAGCATTGGAAGACTGGAGAACCGTTGTGTGTTGTGTGTTGCATTGTGATAGTTCAGGTTTTTGATGTGTCCATTGTGGGGAGGTAGTAATGTTGGACTGAAAATCAGTGCGAGGGACTTGGAAGTGTTAGTGGGGTTGAGTATTGGGATTGTAATGGGCTAATGCTTGGAAACTGGAACTTGGTTGGGTGCAAAATGTCACTTTAACATGATTTCCTTGTTTTTAGCGTTTGTGTGCAGAGTTGGATTGGCCCATGGGAGTAATGGGAAATCTCTCAGGAGGCCTCTGCCCCCCAGCAAAAGTCTGAGGGAATAATACAAAGCTTTCTTCTGTGTATTCAGTGAGAGGCCTATCTGTCAGCCCTCTCCTTTCCCCAGGGATCCGCTACACCTGCTTCTTTGCCTGAGAGCAGTAGCTACCACCTCCTTCTGATTTTGCCAACACCGTAGCATTCCACAATGCACTGTAGGCGCTAGTACCAAGACAGAGTTATCTGTACTTAAGTTACTCCTCTCACATTGGCTGAACTAAAGTGAGAGCAGCCACAATGCAAAATACTCAAATTACTGTATCCATCCTGGTACTGCACTCACGCAAGTAAGGCAGTAACAAGGTATACAGGCCCTTTAAGCATAGAAGGGGCCAGAAGACCTTGTTCCAGGAACATTGGTACACAAACAAAGGCTCAGGAAATGGCTGAAGCCCAAATAGAGGAAGAGGTTCCAGGGAATTAATAGTAGGATGGGAAATACTCAGGACACCATCCCTTTAAGTGCCCGGGACCAGGAGTCTAGTAGTGTAGCGTAGGGCAAGGCATCTCTCTCCCTGCGCCAACTGGGAGGAGCTCTCTGTAGGAGGGCAATATATATAATGCCTTCACCCTCAGAACAGGGAGAGGCCGACAGGAGAAGGAAGCCAGACCCAAAATGCTGAGCTCCCACTAGGAAGAGCAGGGAGTGGCAGCTGGTAAAGTTTTGAGGTTCAACCCAGACCAGTAAGGGGTTGTGTCACCACCTGCCCTACAACTCTGGGTACTTTAAATGTTACGCTGCTCTAGCTCACCGCCCTGACACCAACAGCCCGCCTTCCATCATGCGGGTCACACCCTGGTTTCCACTACCCAGTTACTGTTTGCAGAGTAACCCCAACACCCCCATCCAGTCCCACATTTGCCCAAAACCATTTCCTGCAGTGTCCAGCCCTCTCCTGGCACACTCACAGAAGTTGTATGGTCACTGCTCCTTTAAAGAGACAGAAACAGCAGCTTGTTATCTTGACTGGAGTTAACAATCGCTTCAGTTCACCCAAAGCACTGGGTTGGTTTAGATCAAAAGTAAAACAAGTTTATTTAGTCAAAAAGAGAGCAATTTTAGGTGAGTTCAAGTATCAGGGATAAAGACAGAAAGGGTTATAAACAAACAAAAATAAAAATATGCTTTCTAATGGCTAGGACCTAACTTAACAAGCTACAGTCTTTGTTCAAGCAGGTGGAACTGCATTCCTTGTCTGAAAAAAAAGCCTAACTCCCCCTAGCGTGCCTGTTTCAAACACATTTTAGTCATAATTCCAGCACATCTGTATAATCCTTTGTGGGTTAACTGTACATATATCACACCAGAATATTATTGATCAGTGAGGTATTAGTTCTCCAATGATACATCACATGATATCTTTTAGATACAGATTACAGCAGAACCTCAAAGATACAAACACCAGAGTTACGGACTAGAAACCGTGTGGAACTGGAATTAAGCAATTGGGCAGCAGTGGAGAAAAAGAAGAAGTAAATACTGTGTTGTGCCTCACCATGCAGGGGGCAGCCACTTACAGGTAAGAGGCAAAGATGCTGAGGTTCACGGCACAGCTGTGAGCCCCTGCTGCCAGCCCAAGTCAGCCTGAGCAGGCAGAGCAGGATCAGTGCTGGGGTCTGAGCCGCTTTCCTGTAAGCCCTGGGTGCTGTTTTCAATACCCTCCCCCCGTCCTTCTTCAGCCAGGATGGGGACAAGCTTACAAGCTCAGTCTGAGCCCGGAAAAGAAGCTGCCATAGCCTGAGCTGCTGATGTTGCAAGGAAGCTGTTGGTGCTGGAGAGAGACAGGAGCTTGGCTTGGAGTGTGAACTGCTGGAGCTGGAGCTGCTGCCGGCATGCTGCGCTCTGGAGGAGCATCTCAGTTTTAAAGGGCCACAGCCTGCACCATGCACCCACTAATGTGGGCCAAGCTTTGCCCCTGGATGCGCTCCGGGGTCCTGCCAGCACCTCTGGGAGTGTGAGAGGTGGGGGAGGGAAGGGCGCTGGCAGGGGGCTGGTGGCCACTCCCTGACATGTGCTGCTTCTGCAGTATGTCAGGCAGTGCACAGAGCAGGACAAGCCCTGGGGAGAAGCAGCAGAGGGCTTGGGCCTGTAGCACCAAGGATGAGGGGCAGGACCGCCTGCTCAGCTCAGAGGCAAGAAACAGGAATAGGGCAGAGAGCTGCTTGCAAACCAGACAGTGCCTCCAGGTTCCTTAGTGCCAGGTGCTGCCTTTGCAAAGATCTCTCCCAGCCTCAGCTGGAAGACACTGACTGTAGAGCAAAGGGGTAGTATTGGGAGAATATCTGACTCCTTTGACATTTTTACCCTTAGTTCTTGTCCTGTATTTAGATGTAAGGAAGGAAGCTTCTTGGGAAGTTTAATGTGACATGTTATTGGCCTTGCAGTAAAAGCATATTTGAGAGCTCTTTCACTGGCCTCTGAAATGATTTCCAGTACTGTACTGTATGACTAAGCAAAATGACAAGCAGCGGGAAGCGTAAATGTGTCACACTTTCAATTGACACAAAGCTAGAAATATTTAAAAACCTTGATGATAGTAAAAAACAACAAGGAGTCCTTGCGGCACCTTAGAGAATAACAAATTTATCTGGGCATAAGCTTTCATGGGCTAAAACCCACTTCATAAGATGCATGGAGTGGAACATACAGTAGGGAGGTATAAATACACAGCATAGGCAACTCCCATCTTTTCATATTGTGTTTTTTTTCTTTAACTTTTCTTCCTCAAAGACAGAACACATTAAGTTCCATGGATCTTAATATTCCAAGAAGATTTGATTTCTTTGTTTTTTTGCTAACCCTCCCTCCTGGGTTTTAATATAATCGCGTACAAAGGCCTCAAGGGGTGTCCATGGGGCTATTGGGGCAAATGCCTGAATTGGCACCTGACTCTGTTCCATAACCCCTTTAGTAGTTCCCGCTTCGGAAGGCGTCCCATCCTTGCTCCCTATGCCACAAAATATCATGTGGGGATTTTCCCTACTGAGAAGTGCTTGTGGTGCTTACTTCCCCTTCAGCTGTTAGCAGCCAGAGCACACTGAGAAGAGGGGCGGTGACCTAGGTTACCCCACACACATTTCCTTAATCCTCCATCGGTAGTGCAGTCCAGAGGAGTCCAAAGTTTGGGGAGCTTATTAATGACGGTTAACCGTCTGACTCACTCTGCCACACCTGATAGGGTCTCTATCCATACGGTTCCCTCACACACAAGTGCTATTATCTATTTGGAACTACTTTAATAATTTCCCCTTTCAATTTTTCCTGAACTCAGTTCTTACAACATTACATAAATGGACAAGCAAAACCACACAATAATGCAATAACAAGCATAAGCGAAAAAAGAAAGCTCCCTCTTCTAGTTACTGTGAGCATAACACACTCTTTTGCCTACATAAAATGATTTTTCATCAATTAATTACACCCATAATGTTTAAAGCAGTCTTTATCTCCATTGTCTTTTCTGTGTTCTCTAGAGCGTCAAACACCATTCTGTAGCCTTTTATTTTATTTAGAATAGATTTAAGGATGCTATCTTACACCACCATGGATTCGGCTTAATTCTCTACATTTTCAAGCTCAACAGAGTGAAAGTCACCTCTGTTACTTGTTTCAGATTTAGAGCCTCTAGGAACCCATGAAGACCAAGGATAGAGGCACATTCATTCACAAATACAAATTCTAGTCTGTCTTACAAGTTTATTACAATTACAAACAAGGTTATGATTATCCAAGCATATATCAATCCCACAAGCTCGCCTACACAAGTTTCAAATATAGTCATACTCACAGCCTCAAAAATATTCTTAGGCCATGTCTATACTTATGTCTAGATCGGCAGAGCACTCTGCTGTTGACTTCTGTACTCCACCTCCCCAGAATATGTAAGGTAAGTCAGCAGGAGAGCATCTCATGTTGACACAGCACGGTGTAGACATCGCTGTAAGTGAACCTAAGTTAGGTCGACTTCAGTAGCGTAACTTACGTCGACTTACAGCTGTAGTGTAGACCAGCCCTTATGGTCTGATGGATTCTTCAACAATTGATCATCAGCAGAGGAATGGTTCCTGCTGGGGTTTTCCTGTAGGTCCCAATTTTATCCCATCTGGAAGCCCCCTTTTATATTGTAATTTTGACTACACCTAACACTCTACACATGTGCATGAAAGCGTCAACCCTCTTTTCCCTTACCTGTATTTCTGCACTCCAAGAATATTGGGAGGCCCTGTTTTTCATAGGTTATTTGTAGTACATTGCGGTCAATTTCTGCAACATTACCTGATGGCACATCTTTCCAGTAGTCTTGTGATCTTGTGACATAAGTAAGTGACCCAAAAATGACCCTATGTCAAGTATTTGTTA